GTTTCATGAACTCAGCTTGCTGTTTCCAGAGGCCCTCTGTTGGCTCCCTCTTCTGTGCTGCTCCCAGTGGCTGTTGACCAGCAAATGGTGCACCCCTCCTAACACTGGGTCAGGTGCTGAGCTCTTATCTGGTAGGTGGGCAGGGTCACTCCCCCTCCTGATGCTGCAGTCAGATGCTGCACTCGGGGGAGGCAGGTGGGTGGATCGCACCCTCTCCCAGCACCATGGTCAGGTGCTGTGTTTCTGCCAGGAAAGTGGGTTGCCACTCACTCTTTCCCAGCGCTGGTCGCTCTGCTGCTGTGCCCACACTGCCTCGGGTTGGCGTTCTGAAGGTGGGCTCAAGGAAGGCCGTGGAACAGCTCCGCCTCTGCTCCATGCCAAATCTCAGCTCCTTGTTTGTCTTGGCAGTTTGAGTTCTCTGAGGGACCAGGGAAGAAAGATCCTATCTGACTTCTGCTGTAAACAAGTCTCAGTCCTGACTAGGAGGTTGCAGATCCCCTGTGTGAAGATTCAGGGCTCAGCCCCAACCCAGCCTGGGTGCTGCGAACAGGAGAATAGGCAACTTGGCTGTGCCCCACCTCTTTTCTCATGAGAAGTGCCAGTAATGCATAGGTCTGAGGAGAAAATGGCTATAGCACCCCTCCCCCCAGGGCACACCAGCCATGTTGTTTTGCTTTTTCCACAATTTATGGGGGACTGAGGTTGTTCTGCTCCATATTCCCTCCTAACCACAGTACACAGAACCCTGTAGTCCCCTGGTAAGCCTCAGTGCAGCCACCCCAGTCCTCCGCCCAGCTCGGGCCACCTGCCACATCCCCAGCTGCCAGTTTTTGTCTCAGGCTGGGTGTTGTGGGGACACTTTGTGCCCATTTACCTCAATTCTGTCAATCAAGGGGTGCTCGGGGCAGATCTGAGACTCAGAGGTTGTTCCCCCTCCATCACACTGGCCCCTCCTTTGAAAAGGTGAGACCCAGCGAACAAGCACCAGTCCTCCTTTGCCACTCCCTCCCAGCGGGATCGGTCTCACACTGTTTTGCTTTTTCTTCTTGCTTTTTTCCCTTTTTTACTACCAGATTTTTGGCATCCCTATCTTTCAAAGAGGGCGATGTTCTGTCAGAGTTTGGCAGGTGATCTGGTTGGCTGAGTGGGTCCATAGATGTGAGTTTTGGTGTATTTGTGGGAGAGGGTGAGCTGCAAGCATCCTTCTACTCCACCATCTTGCTTCTCCTGTGCTTTTTTTTAAAGCCATATATAAAACAATGATATAATCTTGTTGTTGAAATAATTGTTTGCCGTAAGTGCTACTTCTTACCCTAATTGATTATTTTTAAAAATTGGGTTTTGAGAAAAGAAAGTAATGAATAGAATATTATCCCCCCAAACTCCCATTTAGAAACTTCTCTACAAAAATCACAGTTTTTGCATTTGCACTGGGAGCAACTTTACATGTCATTTATAATAAAAACAATTTCTGGTTTATGCCATTATTTAGACAATGCTATGATTTATACAATTTAGCCTGGGCTTTAAGGCCCTTGATTAGGCTGCATGAAAGCTCCCCTTAACTTCTCCACTTACCATCAGCTCCAGTCAAGTCAAATGACTCCATTTTAACTACAAGACCCCTGTATTCTCCCATCTCTAATTTTGTTTCTCTGGGTGTTTCTGTCTTTGAGATCTCCTTCATTTCTTCAGTTCCATATTTACCAGTTCTTTAATATTCAGCTCAAGACTTTGAGGAAGGTTTCAGACCATAAATTTTTTCTCCAACTTTCATAGCTCTGTTTTTCCTTGATAGACTTCTAAATTTTACTTTAGTGTTAAAGCTATAGGTTCTACTGCTTATATACATTACTGAGAGTAAGCCTTTTACAGATACTGCTATCTTTGTTGCACATACTGTTATGGATGTTTGCTCACTGCTTTGAAATAGTCATATTGAAACGAATAATTTTCAATTTCAGCACTGCTTTTTTAATATCTAAGAACAGTGGGGGATATTTAATAGCTTCCTGCAATTATTTATTGATTGTATACAATTTTAATGCCCAGCTATACCAACTATGATATATTTTATATGGACTCTGATTAATAAATATATGTAGAATGAATAAGTGCCCACATTCATCACTGCATACCTAATTGCACAACAGGTATTGTATTAGTTTTTCTGTATATGTTATTTTACTTTATCCAATCGAGGAAAAAGAAAGCACTGTGAATATTAGAATTCTTTTATATATGAAAAATTTGT